AACTGTGTCACATTTTATGTAAAATGGTGCTTTAGAAAAGTGTTATGATGTAATAGGGTCATATAGAACTCTACTAATGCTATCATTGCAAAGCACTATAGACAATCCTACACAATAACATTATGATTTATTACGATCTGAGACCATTTCTATTTTCAGGCACAGGTTTTTCAGAGGAGGATGTGACAACTGAATACATGTCTCTCTGCTTTCACTAAAGAAATAGATACCACATAGAACAGGTGGTCTTATTGATAGCTTGGTTCAATAGTTCACGTAGAGTTATCTATGAAGCAAACTGAAGAGAGAAGATAGCCTAAAGCAGGGGTGTTATACTGGCAGACTGCGGGCTGGATGAGTCACGTGCAGGCCCCACCCACTCAAGTTCCACAAATGGGAAAAACGTCTGAAATGTCACGTGACAGCAACATGACGCCGCAAGTTTGACACCTATGGCTAAAAGATTCATGTGCTACAATACAAATCTTATCATTCCCAGAATTCTTGGCTAATGTTTAAAGTGTGTGAGAAAAAAGCTACTTTAAACTGAGTATTGGATATTGTATTTGCATCAAGAACATAAAACTACTTGCACTACAATTTACTATACTACAAGGAGCAAATACATGCAGTAATATGGATCTGCCTTGAGCTAAGATTTGGAATGTATGACATTATTTCATCCAATCAATGATAAAATTATAGCTTCATGAGTCACAATAATTACTTATTCTCCATAAAATATTTCTCATTTATTGGAGGAAAACATAATCAGTGATGAGATACTGTATATATCTCATCTCTAGTAGCCATTATTTGATGGCTACTGTTTTTATCCCTACCCCATAGCTTCCAATCATAGCAGAAATGCCTGAACTTAATGCAGAAACTGGAGGGGGAAAAAATTCTTATTCCCAAAAAAAAAAAAAAAGCATAGTTATATAAACCAGCAAGGACTCTGTTAAGTCTTATGCACTGCTATACTAAAATAAGTTGTTTTCTTTTCTGTGGAATTTCCCTCAAACCACTTATATAGAGAGCTGGTTTTCTCTGATACTATAATACCTGCTTTACTTAGTCCAAGATACCCACACCCCTTCCAAATCTCTTGATACTAGTTTTCCCTTTGTATTACCTCGCCCCATTAAAAATTATTTTCAAATTGTTTATTGGTTTGGAATTTCCATATATTTTTAAGTATATGTGTTCTAGTCTTGCAGTATCACAATTTTATAAAAAGAGTTATCCAATCTGTTCTGTGATACTCCTTTTACCTTATTTTTGTGGGAAGAAAATATGTGATGCTTAAGTCTGCTTTTCACTGTGTACCTACACAACATTATATAATCACACAATATATTCTTAAGTCTGCCTTCATGTACATCTTTTGGGAGGTGAACTCTCAGTTAGGGGCCTTAAAAGAAAAGCAGAAAAACTGCTTCACCTGCATTTTCAGGTGGCTCATAGTATGTTCCCATGAGAGAAACATGCATGTGGCTTTTTTTTCCTTTTGATGCTATGCATTTTGTTACTGGACCATGTTATAAATGCAACAGATACTGTGCTTTGTTTAACATGTGTCCCTGGCATAACAAAGTCTCAAAAACCGAAGACACTCCACTGTGGATTCTGTCCAAGAAAAAAACACAACGTCAGAATCAGGAAGAAGCTTTAGAACACCCTTTTGCTTTCAAGAGCGCTTGAAATAATAGTAAATCTAAGGAGAGTCTTTGAAGCTTTTTGGCATGTGTTTGCTGGGCCAGTGGGTAGCTATAAAAGTTGGGCATGTTAACAAAAAATGTGATGTGGGTGCAAGAGAACATGCTCATGTTTTCTTTGCAACTGCAGTTCCTGTTGCTGAGTTTGAGTATTTCTTCCTCTCTCTCTCTCTTTTTTTTTAATGAATGGTCTCTGGCTCAGTTCCTGGTGTGCAGATTGTAAATTAGCATATAAATTAGACACCAAGGAGGGTGCAAAGTATTTGTTTAATTCATCAGCATCAGTGGAATAGAATAAACTAGGTGCGGATCTGAGGGTGAGCACATACTTTCATAAAGTGCTCACATTTTGCAAACAGCCTTTCTCGGGAACTATTTTGCTTTTGTGATGGAACTTCAGAAGCAGATGTAATATTAGTCAGTGGTACAGCTGTACAGAAAAAAAGACACAAATTTTCGCAAGGTAATAGTGAAAAACTAACTAAAATTGCACATCAGTATTGTTCCATTAAAAAAACATCAAGAGTAACAATAGCAAAATGACTTTAGAGTCTCAATTAAAAGAGCAAAATATTGAGTAGGGTAACTGTTTAATCTCAGGTGAAAGTGCTACTGCTTTAAAGAGTTTCAAATAGTTCAATATATGTACTCTTGTGTGCCCCAAAGCACTTTTTGTCTTCAAATGTAAATATTGCAAAGCCCTTAGTACAGAGCAAGTTTCTGACTGCCTGAGGCTGGATGATAAGCACAAAAGGTGATCTATGAACTGGCGACCAATACAA